TCATCATACACCACTCATCATACACCACTCATCATACACTACTCACCATACACCACTCATCATACACTACTCATCATACACTACGCAACAAGCGCGCAATTTCCAAGTGGCCGCAGGCGGCAAGGATCAAAGGCGTGTGTCCATCTGCTGCTGCATCTATGTCAGCTCCAGCCTCGAGCAACATATACACTACGTTCAAGTGGCCGCTCTCCGCGGCGTAGGTCAGGGCCGTGTCGCCATCTGGTGTTGCTGCCTCTTTGTCAGCTCCAACCTGGAGCAAAAAATTCACAACCCGCAAGTGGCCTCTCGCAGCTGCAGCCATCAAGGCGGTTCTCCCATCATCTGGATCTCTTGTGTTCTTGTCAGCTCGAGCCTCGAGCAACAACCGCACCATCTCCAAATGGCCCCGTCCAGCAGCGAAAATAATAGGTGGAAGTGGAGGAAAGTCACTGTCTGCATCGTTCTCCATTGGTAGGTGGAGAGCCATGGGGGGATTGCTTATAACCAAGATCAGGGTGAGGTCACAGAGCCTACTACTTTCGAGCAAACACCTGCACAACGAAACTGAGGCAAAGGGGGGCCTGGCACAGGTGTCACTCATGCTCTTCATAGCTCCACCCTCCTGTGCGTCGCTGAGGCCGGCACCAGCACCAGCAAGGTATATCATTTGTTTGTGCACCTGAAACAAGGTGAGCCCGCGGACCCAAAAGCAAAAAGAAGCGCGCAACCCAGGAAAAATAAACAAACACAAATTAGCAGGCCAAAACGAAGCATCAGCCCCCTCCAGGCTTCGTGGCAACTATGATATTTCAAGCATCGCGGTTCTGGTGCAACACAGCTCCACTCACCTCCCAACGGGCTTCCGCGAAGCATGGAGCAGCACTACCCCCACCCATGCTTCGTTCTACTTGTGCACTGACCTGGAGCAGCCTGCAATGATGCTGGTGGTGCAACCATGTGCTCGACGCAACATTGCCTGTCGCAGGCATTGTGCACATTTTGGACACCCAAGACCATACCTAAGCCCCGCAACACCGCTCCCTGCCGTTTCAGCCACGACTTGACCGTCTGTCGCGTGCATTGCGCACTTTTTGGACACCCAAGACCATCGTATAAGCCCCGCAGCCTCCCAACGTGCTTCCGCGAAGCATGGAGCAGCACTACCCCCACCCATGCTTCGTTCTACTTGTGCACTGACCCGGAGCAGCCTGCAATGATGCTTGTGGTGCAACCATGTCCTCGTAACTAGCATATCAGCCGCGCAAGCGTCCACACCCATGCACTCCCCACCCCGTCCACCCAAGCCACGCCGTCTCACTCCCCCCCATCTTCCCTCCCCAGCCCCGTCCACAGTCTCGCTCCCCTCCATCTTCATGCGCCCCCCGTCTCGCTCCCCTCCATCTTCCCTCCCAGCCCCCCCCCCCCCCCCCCCCCC